ATGAAACCTTTTTATTATGCATTTAATATAATATGCAACCGTTTCTTCGTAATGTAACCTTTTCATATGAACATTAATATATTGTGCTATGGTAATATGAAATATTTTCATTTTAAAACCTTTTCATATGAAACAGGTTCATAACCGGTAATTTTTGATACAATGAACCTCAAATCACTCATTCATTACATAACAAGATAAAATCTTCATGAATGTTTCCAGCTTCATTGAATAAAAAAAATCAATTTTTAATATTATAAAATATTAAAATCTTTAAATCATTCCATTTATATAATTTCTATTATTAAATTTCCTTATTTAATATTCCTTAATAACTTCCTTATTTATGAAAAAAATAATGAAAATGACCAAAGTGACCTTATTGATTAAATTTAATTAAAAAAGAATTGAATTTTCCTATTGGTTGATTTTGGTTTACACGGTTTTTTAGAATGGCATGGTTTTCATTTGAACCTGCCCCTATATATATATATATATATATATATATATATATAACCTAAATATCCAACTCGCTATACGAGCCGACTAATCCCAGGACAACCATCTGCTTTGCGAATAGCTCCAAGTCACTGGATTTGAACATCCGTAACCAAAAGGGGATTTTTATTCCTCCTTAGATTTAAACCGACCTACAGACACTTTAGACCTTTGAAGCTCAATCTCAAACCAATCAGGCACCATCTTTATAATGATATGTTATATTTACAACCAATGAAAGAAATGCTTTACCAGAATCACTTTAGAATATATTATTCTATTGTTATTAGTACATATATTCATAACACACAGCAATAATAAACATGGTAATTAAACAATAATTTTGGAGCCGTTTACCAAACACTTACTCAGGTAAGCGCTTACCATGTTACATTACCTTACGAGATGAATGTGACAAGGATCAAGAATCTTACCCGGTAAAAGCGAGACAATCAACAAAAGTCTCACCCGGTAAGTGAAGGCAACAACTCTTACCATGGTAAGAGCTTATCGGGTAAATTATTACATATGGTGATGTTTTTATGGACTAAAATCTTACCCGATAACTAAGTAATAGTGTTAAATTTTACCCGTAAGCACTTATTAAGTAAGTTTTTGGTAAACGGCCCCTTTATTTAATTAATGTCATTATAAAATATCCAAAATTGACTTTCAGGAATAAACTAAAAGCAGGTCAGATAGTTGATGAACCAGAACTCTCCAACCAACATCCATGTAGTAAATGGTTGTCATTCAGACCGTTTATTCAACAAAACACCAATTTATCTAATCCATACAGACAGTTTAATCCATTCACCAAACTCCACAGGCCCAATAGTGATTTCCTGGGGTACAACAACACAATGCAAACAGAAATGTGTAGTAATTTGTCCTAATTTCCGGTGTCAACCCGACTCAGCAAGATTTTCTGAGCATAAAACACTCGGAGTCGTTACTCGAGTTCAAAAACACACCCACGATTGCAAATGCACTCCATTTCATTACCTCATTTAATGAACAGTAAGTGCGCTATCATAATTCCAGCCTTGAAGTGAAAGCCGTGGAGTGACACCTTCAGGTACTTCAAAAGAAATGGTGATGGCCATCTCCTCACCCGGAACCAATGAAAAATAGTTGTCCGAATAATGAACCGGAAGAATTCTAGTGTCTTCGCCTTTTCTATGATCCTGCTTAGAAGCATGAACAGAGAAATTAAGAAAGAAAGCAACCCCAACCTCACTACCATTTATTTCAGATACTCTAACTTCATTATCTTCTTTCGAAAAACGACTGTAGATCTTCTGTAGCAAACCAATTTCCTGCTTCTTTTTATCCGATGATTTCAAGTCAAAATCACCATCATCGTTTCTTTCCATGAAATTGTTCTTGTAGAGTAAACTTTTGGGGTTGGGTTTCTTTGATGTGTTCTTTATCTGCGCACGAATGTTATAAGTTGATCCGCTGATGGAAATATCAGAAGTCATCTTGAGGGGTATTTTCTTGTTTCTGTAGGGTTCCAACAGTCTATAATCACCACCGGGAAGATGTAGCCAGTAAAAGTTCCGCGATAATATTTGAAAATCTGAAACATTATAGAGTTTGAGAAGAAGAAAGTAGGCAGCTTTAGGATTTTTGGATTTCGGGTACTTCATCTCAAATATTGGTACTGTTTTCTTTGATGGCACGGAGAGTGTTTCAGATACTTTATAGTAAGGACATGTTCCTTCAAGATCCCACACAGATACCTCGATCGCCACATCAGAAAGTTCGCTGGATGTGGTGTTAACCACCTGGATTAAAGGGAGGAGTAAGCAATCTATCTACTAGAAAATGTTACAGTTGCTATCTAGCTTAGAATAGTAAGGGACGTTTACTAAATGCTTACCCGATAAGAGCTTACCGGGTCATTTACCTTACCGGATGAACATGGCGAGGGCCAAGAATCTTACCCCGTAAGAACGATGATAAGGATGGAGAGTCTTACCCGGCAATGGAGAGTGATGACTCTTACCCTGTAAGCACTTATGGAGTAAATTGTTGTATATGATACCATTTTGATGGGACTACAATCTTACTGGTGAAGTAAGTTAAAGAGTGTTAACTCTTGGCGGTAAGCACTTACCCGGAAAGTGCTCTGATAAACGGCCCCTAAGTCCCTAAAAGGCATGATTACAGAAGTCAACACAAGAGTCTGGCTCTCAGAGCATCTCCAACAGATTCTCCAAAATGGAGATAATGGAGATTTTGGAGTTTTTAACCTTATTTTTGCTCCAATGGATCCTCCAAAACTTTCTCAACAATGGAGAAAGTAGGAGAAAGAGGGTAAAAATCTGCAAACTTGAAGAACCCTACATAATTAAATACCATAGAGATAAATATTTGTTAATTCTTCCACCAGCTAGAAGTTTGTTGGCATACTAAATGTATTGAATATTTTTAGTAATATAATTAATGCTTGAATCTCCAAAATGGAGAAACAGTTGGAGTTGAATGCAATTTCTTTTAAAGATAATTTGACTTTTCCTTCTCCGTTTTAGAGAAATTATGAAGAAACTCTTGAAGATGCCCTCATATGCATCAAGATCTGAATGCAGTTATACAGCAAAATGACCTCTGTAGGTACTAACTAAATTCTTAGCGATAAAATCATTTTTGAGAACTTTGTGATTTCCCAGATTCCTCTTTTTAAATTTCCAAAACAAGTGACACGAGAACACAGAATCAACAAATAATGTGACCGAGAAATGAAGGATTTACCTCTATGAAATAACTTTCCAGGTTTAACTGGACATGTATTGGTTCTGCAGCATGGCGACAGCCATAAAATCCGGCAGTTTGGTCATGAAGATGATCATAAAACTGGCCTCTGAGACCTGTCCAAGGATTTTGTGTTTTCCATATCAGAACACCTGTGTATTTGGTCCACATACGCGATGTCCATCCTTCTAATAACGCTCTATATTGAATATAATTCACTAATTGAGCCTGTGAAGCATACGAAACAAAAAGAAAATCAGAACACTGTGTGAAGATTAAAGAGCCAAGAAGAAACTCATAAAGTCATGGTTTACCTTAAGACAAAAATCATCAAGATCCTTTGGTTCACCATAGAGCAGTATCTGATCATGTACCTTATCTGGTTTCGAGTAAGGAATGTATTTATGGTATACCCATATAGGATTTGGAACTTCTAGTACGTAGCCACTGGGTAACTCGTTAAATAAAGGAATCTGCCATCCCTCTGGAGGCATTGTTGCTCTGATAGTAGCAGCAACAGGCATCCCCACATTACCAACCTCAGGGTTAAACCCATATTTATAGAAGTCATCTTTGAAAAAGTCCTCAGGGTTTTGGATTTCATAAGGTCCATCGGACCAACCCCCCTCCCCATCAGCAAATCCTTCCCACAAAGACCCTTTTATGTAAATTCGTGTTCCATCTAGATATTGGCTGGGATCCATCAAAGTCGGGGTTGTTTCTCCCTTTGAGTTATTGTTTTCATTGGCTTTCAGAAAAAACGGATGAAGCTTTAGATCATTTGTCAAAGCTTCATTGATATCATCTGGTGGTACTTGTTCATTTCCTCCCACCCACAGAGCAAGACTGGGATGATTTCTTAGAAGCTTGACGGTGTCCCGTGCACAATACAAGAAAAGATCATGATCTAGTGGACCATCAGGGTTTGATACAGGGTCACCTCTCCCATCAACATCTCCAGTGATCCAAAACTCTTGCCAAACCTACAACAACTATCAGATCATTGATGGACACAAATTTGTAGTCTGTGCTCTTCAATTTGATTTGCCTTGAGTTTTAAAATTAAGACCTGGACATCACTAATCACTTGTGAGTTTTGTTCTACTTGTGATTGTTTTGAAATAGCATTCCAGTTACAATAAATGAAAAGCAGCCATTTCTGAAGGATCAATTGCAACAGACCAAGTCAACGGTTTTGAATAACTAATTTCTATAGACATCTAATCAAAACTACTATCCCTCATTTTTAAATGAAATAGACCAAATTTGGTCCCTGGTTCATTGAAATGTTTGAATTAAAATAATAATATAAAAAAATTACGGTTTAAAATATATTTAGAACGAAGACTGATGAATTTCTGACAGACAGTTGGGTCAGATATGATAACCTTGCATATGGATTTCTTCATCGGAAATGGTCATTTTTCTCGTAGTCCCACCTCAGACAAAAATGTAGTGTTGGCATTCGTTTTAGCCTTAACCAACTAGTTTGAGATGAAAGGTTACTGAATTTTAATCAAATACACTTGACACTTATGTTTAGCCCACCCTAAAGAGGCTTGAAAGAGAAAAGGTGAGAGTTACCAGCAAACCATAAATGTCACAGTAGTGATAAAAATCAGGTCTCTCGGCCAATCCACCGCCCCAACAGCGTAACATGTTAAAGTTCATATCTGCATGAAACTTGATGTCGGTTTTGTAACGCTTCTTTGAAAGCCTCAGCAAACCATCGGATAGAATCCAATTTCCACCACGAATAAATACAGGCTCTCCATTGACTTTAAACAGCCTGCAACGGGAACCAATAATGAACACAATTTCTCTACCCTTATAACGCTGAAGTTAATGATAAAATTACCTTCCACCCGTCGCACTATCAATTTCGCTTTGAATTTTACGGAACCCAAAATGGTGGCTCCACACATCAGACTCTCCATAACCCTCAACTTCAACGGTAATTTCAACATTGTACAGGGATTGCTTGCCCATGCCATTTGGCCACCACAAATTTGGTTTGTAAAAAAAGAGCTGCAAGTAGAAATCATTAACATTTTTAATGGAGATAAGTGCTGCCAAACTTTCATCAGCATTAGAGCAAGTGACATGCATATTTAGATGAGCTTTTCTGCGAGTAACAGGTGGATAATTCAGAGATCAATTATCATACTAGACTTCAAGCAAGGAATGTTATGTATATTCTTTTCTTGACCTCCTCGCCTATGTGTTCCAACTGATATAGACCAAATTGTTAAGTTGATTAGAACATCTTCTATCAGAGTGCAGTTGTACCGTATCAATATTCTTTATTCTATGATCACGTTCATCCTAACCTCTGAAAATGTAGAGAGCCAAACAAGGAAAATTTCATGAAGGAAAAGATAAGAGAAGGAACTGAACCACATGTACGCCGCTGTGAGTATCACGGTAAATTCCCATGATGACACTTCACCCCCACACAAGAAGTTGAAGGGAAACAGTGAAGACTGCCAAAAAGGGGTGGGGGATTAATTATAAGAATATAATGGGAAGGGAAGGGAAGGGAGGAGACGAAGTTAGGTGCTGCATTTATTGTAATCACAGCAGGATGGGATAATGCATTGAAATTTTCTATCATTTCCATTATCCAAGTTTAGCATGATACAGGCATTTTAAGAGAATAGCACACAGAACGAACATCCATTATACCCAACTTCACCTGATATTACTTTCATCATGGAGAAGTTACGAAACTCACAAATGACAGCAATGATACATACGCGCCATAGTCTTCTATTTAAATATGAAAATTTCAGGTGATGGCTGTCCCTTGACAGTCATTGTAGTAATAGCAGTAGAGAATAAGGTTTTTCAATTTCAAATCCTTGCCAATCAGGTCACTTAGTACTTCGTAGATCTCAATGACTAGTAATGTGACAAGAGAGCCGAAGCCAATATCTCACAGAACAATATCCTCTGCTTAAAAATTTGTCTATTCTTATGTGATTACAGAACGTCGTTCATGGCGGTATGACCCCATATATGATTTTTCGGTAGAGAAAACTACTTATTCTGATTTATGGATCTGTATTTGAGAGAAGATGATTTTGGCAATAAGAACTTCACCTCAGGAAATGTATATTGAGCATGTGATCCAGCAGGGACTGACAAGTGCTCTGTCTGAAGATGTTCAACCAAGCAAGTATTTCCTTCTAGTGTAGTTGACACTTCAATTTTCAAGGAACAATCAGCTGCCTTATCACTTCTGTTTACCAACTCTGTGGTAGCATGCAAATAAACCCTCTTGTAATCATCAAAGAACGATGAAACCAAGTGAGGATCTACAATTTTTAAAGGCTGCAAGATAAGCAAGAATTAAATATTAAATAGAGTAATCACATCTTCAATCAGTGATACTACAACGTACTCATGTCTTATATCTATGATAACATATGATGAGATATATTTCCATGTTAAGATATTAATGTTCCTTCATTTAAAGCCTAATTTCCATCATTACTCATCTCCACGTATATGAGGGCCATAAAATGGAAATGAGAGATAAACTAGACTAATGGACCCCATGATACAGCAGTTTCCAGCCATTTGCATCAGAAAGAAGACAACATTAAAAAATATATTCAAGCAAAACTAACCAAGATTTTCAAAACGAATGGACTCTGGTTTGTTATGTGCTCAATGAACCTGTTATTTTATTTATTATGTATTAAAAAATGAGTCCATAAAAGAGACGAAAATTGGTCAATGAAGTATTCAGCTCATGTCTTCTGGCAATCACTTGGCGAGCTGTCAGGCTATCTGCACTTCATAGATTTGCGAAACTGAAGATGGCATAACATGACAGGGCCAAAGCAAAATTATTGAGTAACTGGCAGAGCCAGAAGATACTGCTACATCACTATCAAATCAGTGGAAGGACAGAATCATAGGAAGCTTTAAATTGGAGACTGATCGGTTATATAAGTAGCATGGAAGAGGTGAAAAGACAAAACCATCTAAGCGTTTAATCAAGGAATGGAAAAAGTGAAGGCAAAAAAAACTTGGGTATTTAATCAAGGACTCACCCCAGCAACAGTGATGGATAMCTCATCCCAAATGCCAGTGTTCCTATCCCTGAAAAAATTATACATATATCATCAAACTCTACAAGTGCAATTTCTTGCTGTCATCACATTATAAAATAATGCTGCTCCCATAAAGAGAATGGAATACAGTGTAGCATAACCTTCAGGTGGTATGTCAATATAAATACCTTCTGAAATAAGAACAGAGACCTATCCTGTTAAGTGTTCAGCAAAGATTCCAAGTTTTGACAAAGGACGGCTGTTTGTTAATCTCTTAATAGTTCCATTAAGAGGCCGCCTCTAAATCGCTAAGAGGTGAATCTTGTTTGGCAAAAAAAAGTCCGTCTCTTAATGATTCTAAAACCCTCTGAATGATTTTGTATCTTGAGCCTCCCTGAACCATTCAACGTCCTAATTTCATTATGAACAATTACGAAACAACCATATTTCATTTTGCACAATATCATAAGAGCCTCTTAATCATGTTGACCACTTAATCATCCTGTAGCAAAGATAGTTGGGAATAATTTTCTCTATATTCATTTGAAGAAAATGATACACACATTTATATACACAAAAAGAAGAGATCCTACCAAATAAATTACCAAAGAGGAAAAAGGAAACTATATAACAAATCATTCTATCTATGGAAGGAATATACAATAAAATCACTGATTATAGGAGATTGATTCCTAATAATCAGCACACAATATTTACACCAGTTTGTTTTCCTACACTCCCCCTCAAACTGGTCATAATTATTAGCTGTAAATTAGCTAGCTGTAAATTAGCTATATATTTCTGAGTTTAGCCTCATATATTTTAGGATGTTTATTCTGTCATTGATCACCCCTAAATGAGTGGAGATCATTTCCTAATTTGTAGCCTCTCAGTTGT